GCACCATTTTTTAAAAAAACTTTATTTAACAGGAATTATACACCATGTTCTATTCTGTGTCTGGCTTCTTTGGTTCAGTATGGAGTTTATAAAATTCGTCCATGCACCTGTGTGTAGCTCCATATTGTCCTTTCTTATTGCTGCATAAAACTCCATGTTCTACAGTGTATTTATCCATTATGGTATTTGGGAAATTTCCAACTTTTAGCAAGTATGAATAGTGCCACACATTCTAGTGCATATATCCATATATCCTCATTCCTCCTGGATATATATCCTCATTCCTCACTCCTCCAGGAGTGACATTGTTGGGTCATAGGATATTCAAATGGCCACGTTAATAGAAATGACCAAAAAGTTTTTCTTTTTATGTGGGTTTTTTTTTTGTTGTTGTTGTTGTTTGTTTTTTGAGACTTGGCTGTCTCCCAGACTGGTGTGCATAATCTTGGCTCATTGCAGCCTAACCTTCTGGGCTCACACAATCCTCCCACTTTGGCCTCCTCAGTAGCTGGGACTACAGGCATGCACCACCATGCTCAACTAATACATTTCTTTCCTGACTTTCTTTCTTTCTCTCTCTTTTTCTTTCTTTCTCTCTCTCTCTTTCTTTCTTTCTTTTCTTTCCCTCCTCCTCCTTCCCCCCTCCCTCCCCCTCCTCCCTCCCCTCCCCCTCCCTCCCTCCCTTTCTTTCTTCCTTTTCTTTCCCTCCTCCTCCTTCCCCCCTCCCTCCCCCTCCCTCCTTCCTCCCTCCTTCCTCCCTCCCTCCTTCTCTCCCTCCTTCCTTCCTTCCTTCCTTCCTTCCTTCCTTCCTTCCTTCCTTCCTTCCTTCCTTCCTTCCTTTCTTCCTTCCTTCCTTCCTTCCATCCTTTTGTAGAGGCAGGGTCTCACTATGTTGCCCAGGCTGCTCTCAAACTCCTGGGCTCCAGTGATCCTCCTTCCTCTGCCCCCCAAAATACTAGGATTACAGATGTGAGCCACCACACCCGGCCAACAGTTTTCCAAAATGGTTGTACCAAATTCCCCTCTGTCCAACAGAATGCAAGAGTCCGAAATGGTTTCAGATCCACGTTAGTGACCTTGGGAAAGTTTTTAAGTCTCTCTCACCCTCAGGGTTTGCATCTCTTCCATGGGGCTGCTGCGAAGACTCAGTGGAAACTTTACCCGGGCAGGAACTCCATCAGGGAGCTGTCACTCTTTCCTGAAAAACTCTGGGGTCTTCACAGATCTATGCAGGTAATGCTCCTGCTCTAAAACTGAATAATCTTCTCAGAGAGATCCATCAAAACAAGTTGGAAGTTCAACTCGGACAGTGCAGCCCTCTCGTATGACTGGCTCTTAACATCTGAGCACGTGGGCTTGCCTCTTGTTTCATATTAGTTGCTGTTCACCTTTGATATCTGAAGCAATGTCAAGTACAAAAATCACTGATATTTGGTGAGCACCTTCACAGCCCCTCCTTCTCCCTGAATCCCACACAATTCTATCTCCTTGCAATTCCAGTCACTCTTGGTTTAATCATTTCATCCATATCTTGACAAGTTAGAAAATCTTGTAAGTGTTATGGGGCAATGTGTAAAAGTTGGTGCATTGGCACAGAACAGGGACTTTATATAAAGACATATCATCTTTCCAGAGTGTTCCAAAAGAACCTGAATACTGATATGTGTGCGTGTGGGGGCGAGGGGGGAAGGGAATTAACTAGGATTCAACTAGCTAAGGCTTGAAAGAATATTTGCCTTTTTCATCCTTTCCCCCTTCCTCTCCGTTTGGCCTTTCTGCCTATACAAGCTCCATGAAAATTCAATGTTTCTTGGTACGTTCAATTTGGAAGACAGTTTGGTGACATCTTATAAGCTCGAAGACACGAATACCCTGTGGATCCAGAAATTCCACACCTAAGGCTATTCCTAGAGATATGCATTCTTATCTGCACCAAAGGTATTTGAGGCAGTAATGTTTAATAGCCCCAACTGGAAAAAAAAAAACAAAACAAAACAGATTCCTATCAACAAGATGATGGATAAACAAATAGTGGCATATTCTCTCGATGAAATACTATACAGCAGTGAAAGTGAATAACTCACAGCCACGTGTGACAACAAACAGGTGAATTTTTCTAACAGATTAGGATGTATAAATCTTTTGTGCATGTGTGTGTGTGTGTGTTTGACAGAGTCTCACTTTGTTGCCCAGCCTGGAGGGCAGCGGTTTGATCTTGGTTCACTGCAACCTCAGATCTCCTGGACTCAAGGGATCTTCTCATCTCAGCCTCCTAAGTAGCTGGGTCTACAGGTTCCCATCACCATGCCTGGTTAATTTTTATTTTTAAAAAGGCTTTTGGAGAGACAGGGTCTTGCTATATTGCCCAGGCTTGTTTCAAACCCCTGGCATCAAGCAATCCTCATAGGCCTCTGCCTCCCAAAGTGCTGGGATTACAGACGTAGACACCGTGCCCTGCCAGATGAATCTTAAAGACATAATGTTGAAGCAAATAAACAAGAAACTGTAGAATACATACTATATGATTATTCCATTTATATAAAAGCCCAAAAGAAGCAAAGTAAAATTGTATTGGTTAGGAATGCATAATAAGGTAGTCAAACTTTTTTTATTTTTATTTTATTTTTATTTTATTTTATTTTTTTTTTTTTTTTTTGAGACGGAGTCTGGCTCTGTCGCCCAGGCTGGAGTGCAGTGGCCAGATCTCAGCTCACTGCAAGCTCCGCCTCCCGGGTTTACGCCATTCTCCTGCCTCAGCCTCCAGAGTAGCTGGGACTACAGGCGCTCGCCACCTCGCCCGGCTAGTTTTTTGTATTTTTTAGTAGAGACGGGATTTCACCGTGTTAGCCAGGATGGTCTCGATCTCCTGACCTCGTGATCCGCCCGTCTCGGCCTCCCAAAGTGCTGGGATTACAGGCGTGAGCCACTGCGCCCGGCACTTTTTTTATTTTTAAAGGAAGATATGAATACCATAAAGTCAGGTAGAAATTATTGCTGGAATAAGGGGCTGTGTAAGCGTGTTGGAGAAGGGGGTTCTGCAGAGGTGGTGATGTTCCATTTCTACCCCTAGACTTGGTTTCATGAGTGTTCATTTCAGTTCAATTTCTTAACCCCGTTACCTTTATGTTTTATGCATTTTTCTGTGTGCTTATTGAATTTCACCACATGAAAAAGCAGAATGGGAACTAATCACAGTGGTTCTGGAGACACGTGAGGTACCAAGCAAACTATACTACCCAGAACCCCTATCCAGCCAACTAGGACCTGGTTAATTATTTCCTCCCAGGAGTTCAGACTTGTCACCTCTGGGGTCTCCAAGGTAGAATAAACCCTTAATTCCAACTTGCAGGAGTCTCTGTGATTTGAAACGTTCACAGAAGTAACCCCAAACCACTCTCTCTGCTTTCAAAAATGGTCTTTTGCTAAACAGAGTAAATTTGTTTAGAGACCTACGAATCGCACCTCTAGATACAAATCCCCTTCTCTTTTCTGTCTTTTAAGTTTTTTTCCTGCCTCCATCCTGCCTTCTCCTTGCAAGATGCTGGGGAGCGTCCGGTTGTCTGCAACCTAAATGGAACCGGGTGGAAAACAGGCTTTTCTCCCAGGGGAGGAGGAAGCACCCCAATTCCCCCTTCCTGCCTCCCAACCATGAGGCGCTCCCCTCTCTCCCCCACAAACTCCGCTGAGCCCGGTCCCCCCGCGCCTCCACGATTGGTCGCGGGCCCTCATGTGTTGACACTCTGGGTGGGTCCTTCTGCTGTTAAACTCATCAACTGCTCCCCTTTTCCGCTTGCTGGCCAGTGGTTCAGACCTTTGCGCCCATTTTTTTTCCCCCCTCTTTACCTTCTTCTACCCGCAACCCTCCACACCAGTCTTATTTTAGCAAAACCTAGAGAAGGAGGAGGTGGAGGGATTTGGAGGGTGGAGGGGCATTGCAGCATCCAGGGGCAGCTATTGAGTGGCTAAGCGGAGGGCGCATACCTCTCTCTCTCTTTTCCCCCTGTTGGGAATTTTCAGGATTTCACTGCTGCAATTTAACCCCAAGATGAGGCACCATTGAGCGAAACGCTGTGCGCACACACACACACACTTCCTCCGGGAGCAAAAGAGGCAGCCGCTGGTGATTCAGGAAGAAATTTTTTTTTTTTTTTCTTAAACCTGGACCCTGCGGTGTGAAGACTCCTTAGGAATCCTCTGGAGCGTCTTACTCCCCCTCCCCCCTCTTACCCTTCCCTTTCATCTTCTTTATTTTTATTTTATTTTATTTTTGGAGCTACCGATCTTTCAGCATTTTTAAGGTCTAGGAACTCCAGCAAAACAGAAGGGGAGTTAAATTTTTTTTTTTTTTTTTTTTTTTTGCTGCCCTCCCCACCCAGCAAAGACCTGGGTTTTTTCTTTCTTTATTTTTAAATAAATAAATAAATAAATAAATATATTTTTTTAATGGGCCGAGCGCACTCCTTTTGCAAGATGCCAGCCTGACCTGGACCTCGGAGGAATTTGAAGCTTCCACTGCGTCCCGGGGGGGCGTCCTTTGCAAACCGTTCGCTTCTTAAAGGGGGTGTGCGTTGGGTGTTTTTTTTTTTTTAACTGTCTTTTTTTTTTTTTTTTTTTTTTTTTCCGGAGTGGGTGGACTGGGGATTGCCTGGATTCCTTCCTCGGTTATTTTTTGCCTCGCTTCTCTCTCCCCTCCCCCCTCCTCCCCGGGCCCCCGCGCCCCGCCCCCGCACCCTCCTCCCGCCCCTCCTTCTCCGGGGTCAGCCAGGAAGATGTCCCGAGCTGCTATCCCCGGCTCGGCCCGGGCAGCCGCCTTCTGAGCCCCCGACCCGAGGCGCCGAGCCGCCGCCGCCCGATGGGCTGGGCCGTGGAGCGTCTCCGCAGTCGTAGCTCCAGCCGCCGCGCTCCCAGCCCCGGCAGCCTCAGCATCAGCGGCGGCGGCGGCGGCGGCGTCTTCCGCATCGTTCGCCGCAGCGTAACCCGGAGCCCTTTGCTCTTTGCAGAATGGCCCGCTTCGGAGACGAGATGCCGGCCCGCTACGGGGGAGGAGGCTCCGGGGCAGCCGCCGGGGTGGTCGTGGGCGCCGGAGGCGGGCGAGGAGCCGGGGGCAGCCGGCAGGGCGGGCAGCCCGGGGCGCAAAGGATGTACAAGCAGTCAATGGCGCAGAGAGCGCGGACCATGGCACTCTACAACCCCATCCCCGTCCGACAGAACTGCCTCACGGTTAACCGGTCTCTCTTCCTCTTCAGTGAAGACAACGTGGTGAGAAAATACGCCAAAAAGATCACCGAATGGCCATATCCTTTTGCCCGAACCCCGGCAGCGGCTGCGCCTCCCCCTCCTCCCTCCGCCTCCCCTCTTCCAGGCTGGGAGAGAGACCCGGGGGTTGATGGGAGGTGGGGAGGAGGAGGGGGTCTTCCAGGGGCTGGGAGAGGGGGCCCCGGGAGGAGTGTGAAAGAATCTCTCCACCTCGAGCTGGGTTGAGCTATCCTGGAGGCTTGGGAATGGGTTTGTGGGGGGCTTGCGGGGGCCAGCGGAGAGTGGATCCTTCCCAAGGACCGACTCTAGAATGAGATCTGGGGCCTGGGGTCGTGCAGGGGCCTTTCGAGCCAGGTCCGGAGGGTTCGGAGTTCTACGGAATGAGCTTGGAGCGAGCTCGGGCCTGGGCGCTTCTGGGCAGGGTAGGGGAATGATGGGGGCCTTGGTTGGGTTTTCTTGGCCGTCCCTCACTGGAGTCCACGCAGGGGAAGCTGGACAGCCTCTCCACTCCTGCTTTCTCCAAGGTGGGGGGCCGCCGCACTTTCAGGGCAGGGCGCTTGGGGGCTCCCAGGGCTAAGAGCAAGAGAGAGTCCATGTGGCCTTCACACTGAGAAGCCAGCACTGGCCGGAGGCCGGAGTGAATGCCCCGGGGTGGGCCGCTGGTCCGATCTGGAGCGGGTAGTGATGGGCTGGGGGCCGCTTATGTCTCCCTCATGTGTGTAGGTCCCATTGCCTTTAACCGCTGATTGGGGAAGCTCATCATCTTTGGGGGTGTAGAGAAAGAGAGCCCATTTGCTTTATCTGGGCCCCTGGCCTGGGGAGACCTGGTCTGGACACTTTCAATAAGAAAGAGCAAGAGCAAATGAGGTGGTGGGTCCATTCTAGACCACCATGTCCAGCTTTTCCTACCCCAAGTAGCCGAGAGGGAACACCAGGAGAATCAACACCCATGTGGACATCTTAGGTAGGTAAATGCCTTTACTTTTTTTTTTTTTTTTTAAATCAAAGATCCAGAGGAAAAAGGTGAAGTCCACATTTTCGTCTGTGGAGATGCTATCAAAATGCAGATCTTCTGTGTTTCTTTAAATCCCTGCCTGCTTGAAATAAACCTTGAGGAGGGCTTAACATCTATTGAGATGTAGGCAGGCAAGGGTGGGTAATTAGTCGGGCTTTCTAGCAGTTATCTAAGCATGACCCAGATTCCAGGAGGGGGGACACACCCTGCTGCCCAGGCTCGCTGGCCACCATGCCATGCCCAGATGTGCTGCTTCTCCGTTCGGTTCCAACCCATTGCCCTCCGTGTAAAAATGAACCGGCTGAATGGATCCCTGGGGCTCAGGGATGAGTCCCCCATCCCTTTTGTGCGTGTTTTTGCAGTTACAGACTCAACGGGGCTGGGCCCTGTGTGGTCCCCGGGGGTTGCTGTTTGAGGAGCATGGTGGGTGGTAGGGGGACTCACTTCAGGGGAGTTCAAATTTGAGCCTGGCTCTTGGACCCTGGGTGCTGGGATTGCAACAGAGGGCACTGAGGTTTTGGAGTGTGTGAGTGGTCTACTTTGAGGGGGGGGAAAATTAAGAAGTTCAGCAGAGGCGCTTTTGAGGGAAGCATACCTCTAACTACGATGCCATCTCCGTTGGTGCCCAAGGCAGGGGACCAGGTCTTTGCTTCCTAAGTTTCAGCCTGGTTGAAGAGCCTGGTTCTTAAGATTAGCAATTCCTCCCCATCCCAGGCCCACTGAAGTGCTCAGGGGTGGTGTAATTACTCTGGCCATCAACAGAGTGAGGGGTGGGAATGCCTTGCAGGAGGGCAGGGTATTCATGCATGCACACCCAGTTAGCTCCAGGAGTGAGAGGGCTTTGCTCGGCTCACAGGTTTCCTCATTGAAAATGGCTTTAGATCGCCTTCTGGAGCCTGGATTTGGAGACTTCTAAGAGGAAAGGAAGGAGGTGGGGAGCCCTTCTGCTGTGTCCTCAGCTTACCTCTGTCCAGCCTGAATCCTGCAGATTGGAGGGCTGTAGGGGGAGAAGGGGATTGCAGCGGCCCCTCGGAAGGGGGAATCGTGGGAGAGGGAGGCAGGTGAATTGCGAGTTTTGCTTGCCGCTTCATCTATTCTTTGGCCAGCTCGCCCAGGGCTTTCCTGCACTTATGATGAGTTTGTGCATTTTGTTCTCTGCACGCTGTTTTTGTTCTCTTTGGCCCGAGGTAACAAACACATTATACAGCCCTATTCTGGAAGGGAAAACTGCCCACCCCACAATCTGTCATCGAGCTGGGGCGTCCAGGACTGAGCTTTCTCTGTCCTGGATGGAGCGGAGGGCGGTGGCGGGGTGGGTGGGAGGGTTGGAGATGAGAGGGGATGGACAGAGACCTGGAGGGGAAGGTAGTGAATAAAAGAATTCAGGCCAGTGTAAAGAGAAACACCACGTGGAATGTCAGAGTCACGATACCAGGGCAGAACATTTTACTTTTTTATCCAAATATTTCTACCATGAAAAAAGAAGTTTAAGCATATCCTGAGAGTGAAAAAAAAAATGTGTGTAGGTACTTATTCTGAACTTCTAGAATAAAGTAATATACGTACAGGCAAGTACATATATTCAGATTCATAGATTTTTACAAAATGAACACACCCACGCATCCAGCAGCCAGGTCCTGATCAGCGCCCTGGAAGTCCCCCTCCCTATACCACCTCCTAGTCGCTCCCCCAACAAGGGTACTGCTCACCTGACTTCTAAGATTCATTTTGCCTGTTTGAAACATCATGTAAATGGAGTCACACAGTACGTTCTTTTGCCGCTGTCTTCTTTTGCTCACATCTGTGTGTGTGACTCTGCCACAGTCTATCCGTTCTACTGTTGATGGGCATTTGTGTCTTTTCTGTTTGTGTCATTGGGAACATTCTTGTGTCTTTTATTATTTTTTTCCACAGTTCTCTTGGATAGGAGTGAAATCATCCCTGCTACTTTTTGATGCGTGTGTCGTGGGATGCGTATTTCGAAATGGTGTTGACTAAGGGTTGCAGGTCGATATGGAAAGCAGGTTCCTCCCTGTCTTGTGGAAGAGAAGTGAGTGAATGATCCACGAACTTGGCTGTAGGCTCACAGGGCCTAAGAGTGGTACTTCCGAATGCAAATTCCGGCATGGTACACTGGTGAAGGATGCAGTCTTGCTTTCTCCACACTCAGGGCAATTTGTCACTATGATTTCTTCCTCTTTCATCCCTCAGTGGGTCAAACTTGAAGCCATCAATGCGAATTAAGAATCCTCATTTATTTCATTTTTCCCCTTTTCCTAAGTGAGAAAACTCAAATGGAAGTCTTTGATGTTCAGATTTACGTTACTGTGTTTTTCTCATGCCAGGCAGCAAGCCGTCTTGACCGCATACCTTGGTTTCATGTTTGCATTGATTGGAATTGTGATTCAAATAGGGCCATGAGGGTCTCTGATGATTGGTGAAGAGCTCAGATCTGTCAGCTCAAAAAGGAGCATCTGTCAACCTTCCTAGAGTTCCCTCCGCACTTAATGCCACTCACTCCTTCTACCAAGTGCCAAGGTGAATGTCATCTTTCCAGCCCTCCCTGAGCCACCAGGTCTGCCACTGAATATAATGTAGAAACTCAGGCCATTGCAGGAACACTGGAAGCAGGTCTGTGTTTTATCACGCAGAGTCTCCTGAATTACATGTAGAATTCCAGCTTTTCATCCGGTTTGCAGAAATCTTAACAAGACACCTAAAGTCACATTGACATCAGGTGACATCACTTTGACATCTGTGGACATTGGCTGATTGGCACTCCTCTCTCTCTCTTTTTTTTTTTTTTTTTTTTAAGGAAAAGCTCTCTAAAGAGAAACTTTCTGCATGAGAAGTGCTGGGATACATAGGAGCAGGTTATCAGACTCTTGGTCTGTCCTGAGAGATAGAATGTTCTAGAAGGTACTGTTGTAGAGGGCAGGATGGTGTCCCTTGCATGATCCTTGCTCTAGACCGGCTTGGCTGGTATTTCCAGAGGAGCAAAATTCTGCAAAGTAAAATTTAGCATGATTCTTCCACTGGGAGTATTTTCAAAAAGGGTGCAATTTCTCATCCACAATTCCCCAATCCAAAAAGCTCCAAAAACCAAAAGACAAACTCATATAGAGATAAAACCTAACCTGAACTGACTTCAGTTTGAAGTCTTAATTTACAGTTTTCATTCATTCCACTTGGTGTGCATTTGAGTATGTTTTGCAGGAGAAATGTTAGATGTGCTTGATGATGAGGTGCTGCTTCAGCTCCTGACTGTGAGGTCTGCATTGTAGTCCTGTCAGACTTTCAGATGCATGGAGATCGACTTGTTAACAGGATGTTTCTGGTCCAGCAGGGTTTGGGTGGGGTCTGGGATTCCACTTTTCTAACTTAGCTTCTAGGATTCCCCATGTAGCAAGTTCATGGGCTGGGGTTGGAGTATCCAGGTTAGATCATAGAGACATTTTGTTATCATTTTTCTTTTCCTTAAAAATCAGGTTTATAGGGGCCAGGTCTGATGATTCACGCCTATAATCCCAGCCCTTTGGGAGGCTGAGGCCAGTGGATCAGGAGGTCGGGAGTTCGAGACCAGCCTGGCCAACATGGTGAAACCCTGTCTCTACTAAAAATATAAAAATTAGCCAGGTGTGGTGGTGTGCGTCTACAATCCCAGCTACTCAGGAGGCTGAGGCAGGAGAATCGCTTGAACCTGGGAGGCAGAGGTTGCAGTGAGCCAAGATCGCACCATTGCACTCCAGCCTGGTCAATAGAGTGAGACTCCGTCTCAAAAAAAAAAAAAAAAGTTTATTGAGGTATAATTTATTTGTAGCAAAATTCACCCTTTTGACATACTGGTCTGCGAGTTTTGACAAATGGATGTAGTTGTAGCCACTACCCAAATCAAGATATGGAACAGTTTTGTCAACCCTAAAATACCCCCACAGTGTCCCGTTTGAGTCAGCACCCCACTTCCCCAGCCCCTTCAAGCTCTGATCTGTTCTCCATCCCTACAGCTTTGCCTTTTACGGAAGG